TTGGGGAGACCTGGGCTGGTGAGGAGAGGATCAGGATGAACTGGGCTGGGGAGGCAAGAGGGAAAGGGCGACTTGGAGGGCTCAGCAGCTCCTCTCGCGACGCCTCCGCCCCGGGCTGGGGTCTGCAGACTCCTCAGGTCGTTTGTCCCAGAGCCGCCGCCCCACGCTACCCTCCCCTGGTTCCCGTCCCTCTGCCCCCTTCCCACCTTCCCCGACACAGTAAGAAGCTCCCAAGTGAGCGGCTCCGGTGCCGGGCGGGGACGTGGGAGGGAGCTCGGGAGGCTGGGGCCCCGCGGGGAGGCGGAGCGAGGGCGTCCCAGAGACAGGGGGCGGGTGGGGACCCGAGGGGAGCGGGTCGGGGTCCCAGGCTCCCTGCGCCTCTCCCGCCCGCAACGTGTCGGTTCCCGGAGCTCAGGCCCGCACCCCAGGTACCTGAAGGCGGTCGGGCTGCGCCTTCACCATGTGGGCCCTGAGCTCCCAAGCGGCGCCTTCGTGGGCGACACGCGGTTCCTGAGCTTCTACAGTCGCGACGAGAATCAGAGCGTGAAGCCGCGGGCGCCGCGGGTGGAGAAGATGGGGCAGGGCTGTGGGCGCCCTGAGGAAAGTTCTCGAAGATCGCAGGGAATGTGTTACTGAGGGGCCTGAGGTTCCTGGGCCGACACCACCACCAGGGTCAGCCGGTGAGTGACCTCAGACTCCGGGCACAGGTGTGGCCCCCGCATCCCCGACCCCAGAGGTACGAGCCCGGATCTCCCAGGGATGGGGGTCGGGGCCTCAGCTGATCCCTCTAAGGTGGGGAAGCGCAGGGGACATTTTGCTCCAGGTTTCTCTTTCCACCTGGATCATGACTGATTTGTGCTGTGACCAATCACAGAGGGAGGAAGGAGCTGGCGTGGGCGGGGAGACCTCTCTCCCCTCCCCGGCCCCGCCTCCGGCTCTCCCTGGGGCAGGTCCAGGGCACCGCACCTGCGGAAGCTACTGCCGGGCTAGGTGGTGACTCCGGACAGGAGCTTCCTCGGGGGACACTTTCAGTCCACCTACGACAGGGAGATTTCATGTCCCTGAACGAGGACCTGCAGACCTGGACAGCGGCTCAAAAAGCGCTTGGAGGATCCAGTGCACTTGGGAGAGGTTCTGGACCGCGGAGGCCACAAGGGAAGCCCTGATAGGTCACTGCATTAGGTGGTTGTTCAGACACCTGGAGCACGGCAAGGAGACGCTACTACCGGCAGGTACTGGGGTCCTCCGGGCCGCACGTCAGAGCCTCTCGGAGCTGAAATTATGTTCCTTGGAGGCATCCATATTTGAGGAACGAGGGGACCGAACACAGTCTCCTCCTCCTCCTCCTTCTCCTCAGCATTTCTACTGCGGGGTTGGGGATTCTGGCCCAGGCTCCTGAGGCTGTCCCGAGGGTGGGTGGGGAGGGAGGACAGAGAGAAGGAGTGCAGGGAGGTAAACAGGAGAGGACAGTAGTTACTCTTGTCAACAGTGATGTACATGGGTCCAGCTTCACTGGGAATCTTTTTCTTTCCTGGTCCTCTGTGGCCAACAATTACATATAGTCTTTAACTCAACCGGAAGATAAAACACCAGGAAACGGAATCAGCAGAGACACAGTGGATGAAAGTACCACGCAGGACTGCTAGGTTCTAATAGAACGTAGCAGATGTATCA